ACCTTAATGTCTATGTCCACCTCAACCACACAACCTGCTTTTCTCTCTCACATTAGGTCCCGTTTTGAAATCTGAACCACTTTTAAAGCGACTCCAAAGTCCCAAGTCAGACCTTTCACCAAGAGGAACTTTGTCTCCTGTTTGTACAGGACAACAAAGTTGAGCTCCTCTAGAGGAACAAACCCTTCCAACACCTACAAAGCCTCAAACTTAAAAAAATATATTTCTCGAGTGTGAGCCAGAGACAAGCGATAGACGTTTCCACCGCATGATGAAGAAAAGAAAAGATTTCCCTTACCTTCATTTTTACTCTTGTCCACTCCCTTGTTCAGGCTGGCAGTCTGTAAGAGACAAACATCAGAAGAGCTGTTCAATATTTGTGAATACAGGTATTGTACACACATGGCAGGTCTCTGATCACACTGTTTACAGGGACTAAAGATGTCAAATACTAATGAAACCAGATATTCAGGGTTTTAGTGCTTCATGGCACACAGCTGTCAGTTCATCGGGTACACATCACTAAAACTATCGCCGCTCATCCAGACTATTATATTTAATGTTCAGTTTTTGATAAAACCACATGAGAGACGTGTTGATTGACCGGTTTCATCATTTTAGAGGATGTAGCTTGTGCTGCCAGTAAACTGTATTTGGTTATTCTGACACCTATTTTTTTATTTTCTCTGCTCCATTCTGTTCAGTGGTGGTAAGCTGAATAACCTCAGCAAAACAAAACCCAGTTCAACAAGCCCACAAACTTCTTCCTCTAAACCAGGGGTGGGCAACCCGTGGCTCTGGGGCCGCATGTGGCTCACTCATCCCTCTGCTGTGGCTTTGGTACATAAACAGTGAGTACTTTAATTTAAACATATTTTATTTTAGTTTGTTGGTTTATAAATGGAATTCTAAATTTGAAGATTTTTTTGAACTTTATAATCTCAAAATAAAACGTGTGTAATTTTTTTGTGCGTCACAATCTCCGATGTGCGACACCTGCCGGCATGAGCAGTGCTGCCAGCTGGGCAACTTTCTGGATAAATCTGGAGACTTTCCAAATCCTCTTGGCAACTTTTTTTGTCAAAAGCGACGAGCGACCAATCTAGCGACTCTTTCTGGTGTTTTGGAGACTCTGAGGTGAAAACTGGTATCGTTGTGCCGCTGCTGTCCTCAGCGAGCAGCGGTGCTGCCGTGAGCTCCTCCGTCCCAAAGCGCTCACAGGCGGTCAGCAGTATGGTCAGCAGTCCTGCTGCAGGTGGAGGATTTAAGATCAGCTTTGTATTTCATAAATATGAGGAGGACTCAAATAGACACTGAATATTTTATTTGAAAGTAACCTTCAACCCAGCGTCTGTTTGTTTTTCTGAGTTCAAAATGTTTTGTTGCAAAAATAAAATGTGGTTTCCTCTGCAGCAGGTCACTGGTTTCATCAATGCACCACTGTAGTTTTTATACATATCATGAAGGTAAAAACGACAAATGCAGTGTTATCGTCATTTCAGATGTCAGAAGGGTTCTGTGGCTCCCACTGTTTTCTTTTCTGTGGGAAACGGGTCCAAATGGCTCTCTGAGTGTTGAAGGTTGCCGAGCCCTGGTCTGGACGGGGTTCAGTCAACACCTCTCAACACCAAAACTGAACCTGTGATGTCTGGAGCTCTTCAGAGATTTGAGCTGATCAGACGAGGCTCAGCATGCAGCTTGTCTGTTCACCGTATTAACAACTGCATTAACAACAAACACCTGAACGACACTCAGTGAGGCAGAGTTATTGTGACACTCCCACTGGCTTTAACATTCCAGAGAAAAGCAGAGAGAACTGGCTTCACGCTCTACATGTCACTAAACTGACCAGGATCTGAATTGTTTCAGAGTCTGACAGTCATGAACCGGGATCCAAACAGAACCAGTTACATGTTCTGTTAGCAGTGCTGCCACTGGCAGGGTTGGAGGCTAAGACTCAAGTTCAAACGCCGATGAAACTCTGAATGTTCATTTCATCATCAGAAGTCACTGGAAGCATTCGTACGAACTGTGCAACACGTCAAAGAGGTGTTCTTAGAAAATACTGTTCATCTCTCATTAAACCTGTGGAAGCTGAAATGTCTGGAGCTCTGGGCTGGAAGCCATTCAGGGAAGGAGGTAGTGGGTCGAGTGGTTCAGCGGCTGCAGCGAAAGATGAATGAAAACAACATTCTGGTCCCAGGTCGGTGCTAAAATTCTGAAAAATGTGAGGGTTCTTTTGCTCAGGTACTTCATCATTTAGATTTTGATCTTTGAGCTGGACAGAAACTTTGATAAACTACTGTTAAAATGACATAAAACGAAATGTCTGACAGCTGATGTGAATATTACAACTTCTAACGAAACACCAACTCAAAGAAACGCCTCATAAAAATCTGGGTTTCTGGTCTGATGACAAACATCAGGGACTCTTTTCTGTGTGTACTGAAATCAGGCGTGTCGGGTTCGGGTCAGGGTGAACACGCATCAGTTAGCCTCTTAAACCGGTATCGTCTGAACTCTGAACTCTCTGCAGTCTGTCGGGTCAGAACTGTGGACGGCTTCATTTTCTTCTGTGTCAGAAAGTTGTGTGGCAGCGTGAGAAGCGCACGACGCTGTCACTGTTTGATTTCCTCATTATTTATGAGTCTTGCATGTGTGTTTAACTGTCGAGCTGCTGGTTTGTTCTTCACGTACTAAACATAACGTCTTGGAATAACACTAGATCAGGTCCACGTTGTCGGAGGTCACACAAAATGTGGTCTTAAAAAACCTCCATGTTCCTTCTGAGACTTGGAAAGTGGCTCCGTCTGAGCGGAACATGTTGGACCCTGAACTGGGCCCGTGTTCCTGTGTGTTGTAGAACTGCTAGATGTAAATGATGCTTGTTGCTGCTGGCGGTGGTCCTCCCTGATCACCTGAAGCCTAGTGCAGGTCTGAGTTCTCTGCTCAGCTCCACCTGGCTGTGGTTTGGATCCATCAGAACTGTGACAAACACACAGCTGAGGACCGAAGTTGGTGCCTTCAAAATAACAGTCTCAATGAAAACAGATGAAAACATGGAGTCTGAGGAACTTTAGGCCCGACAGTCTGCTCTGTGGCCCAGAGCCGCTCCACAGGAAGCAGCAGCGCTTCACTCTTTTATTGTGAAATCAAGCAGGAGCCTGTGTGGGTGGCGAGCAGCTGCTTGGCGGATCCTGGAGCCTCCACCAGCCGGCTGCTGTAACCGCAGCACGGATTGCGTGAGAAAGCGGAGCGGCTTCGTGGGAACCAGGAGGGCATCCAGCGGGCAGCACAGCCTCCACTGCCGGCTCCCACCACAGCAAAGACGTCCTGGACGGAGCTCACACCAAACTTCACTTCAGTCAGCTGCAGCGAACCAGACAGAACCACTCAGAAACCCGACCAAAGTTTAATGCGAGCTCAGGATCCAGTTCAGTCTACAGGGAACCAGAGCAGCAGAATTTCCTTCGTCCTGCTGACTGCAACTTTCCCTCCGAGTCCAGCAGATTTAACTGCTGCCGAACTGGACGGAACAAATCAGAGACAGCGTGTCTGGCTGCGTTCAGATCATTAACAGATGTTCCCTCACATTCAGCTCCTTTGCGCAACACTCGAGCAGTGAGTCTGGAACCAGACCAGAGCCGCTGCTGGTCCATTTTCAGAAGAGTGTTGAAACTCACCTTTACGGAGGACAGGTGCAGAACCGCTGCCAACACGACCCGAACCAAACTGACACCAAAGTTCATGGCTGAATCCGCGCTGCGTCCTGAAACCTGCGCGGTGCTCAAGAGTCAAAAACCAAACGACGCGACGACGAGTTCAAACGCAGAATAAATGATGAGAGCGGCTTGGATGCGGCTACTGCAGAGCCATATGTTCCACAGCGCGTGTCACGTCCACAGAGATCCTCCCAGCAGCTCCGTGGGAAACCTTCATCCAGACAAAGACTGTGAAATCCACGCAGGAACCGGCGATCCTCCCACAGTGACTAATGTGGAAACTTTACGCAGCAGAGTGCGTCCTCCCTGATTCACGGCGGCCCGACGGCTGTGACGGTGTGCGCAGGTGTGAAGTGTGTGTGTTCTCCACGGAGCGTTGTGCTGTTTGTGCCTCAGTGTTCTGCGTGGATCTCCGTGGATCCTCAGCGGTACCAGCCTCTGCGCTGCGCTGCGCTCCGTCCGCCTATCGCAGGAGGCGGGCCGGGGACGAACCAATGGCAGCGAGGAGCTGGTGGTGTGTGTGTGAGCGGTCACGCACGCACACACACACACGAAAGCACGTCACTGATGACGTTCTGTCCACGTAGTTGAAGTCAAACTGGAGAATTTGTTTCCTTTAACAACATGTCTGAGTTTCAAACTGCTGTGTCACCGAACAGATCACCAGCATCCGAACCTCCAACCCGAACCTCCACCAGGACGCACGTCTTTAGCTGCTTCTGACACATCTGACCTCATGTCAGGTTTATTTCTGTTTCAGCTCATCACACACACACACACACACACACACACACACACACACACACAGCACTTTACAGGCAGATGTCAGGGATTAAAAGCAACAGCATTAAATCAAGACTTTATGAAATAAAGCAGATGAATTAAAGGCAGAGCTGAGCTCAGATCTTAAAGACCTTCAGCAAACACTTCTGGGACGTTTCTGGTCCCAGAACATTCAGAACTTACGGACAATAACTGAAGTCAGTTTAATATTAAAGAGGGACCGGATCAAAGGATCACGTGATCTTTTTCTCTATTTGACGTTAGTCAGCTGGTCACTGCAGACGCCTCATTTATTATTATTGTTGTTGTTTACGTTGACAACCTGCAGGGGAACGTGTTCCTCATTCACCCATTCACCACATTCATACTCCAAGGTGCCGCCTGCCACCAGGAGCAACTTCAGGCTCAGTGTCTTGCCCAAGAACACTTTGGCTGTAGAGGGCCAGGGATCGAACCGCCGACCCACTGCACCACCTGAGCCGGGGTCTCAGGCTCAACTTACCCAGGGGCCTCTGGAGGTAGAGTCTGAGTGAGGCTGGGCTGCATCAGGCAATCAAAAAAAAGTACCACTGATCCAATCTTCTCACTCTTTATTAATAATAATTCAGAACATGAACATTCTTCAGAACATCGGCTCCTCCTACCTGCTCCCTGCTGCCAGAGACCTGCAGAGCTTCCTCTAACCCTCAGCTGGGCCACATCTGGCTGGAGGGAGGAAGCAAATCAATTCAATTCAATCAATTCAGTTTTATTTGTATAGCGCATGTTTACAACAAGAAGTCATCTCATAGCACTTCACAAAGGCAGAAACACCCAACAATCAAAACATCTGGATTCCCGATAAGCTTCAGCAGTCTGCTGGTGGGAAAATGAGACCCTCAGTGTGGCTTGAAGATGCTCGTCAGTAAGTCTGGACCTGCACTGTGACTTATTAAAGTTCATGGTGGAGAAGAGCTTCTCATGAAGATAGAAAAGAGGAAAAAAAACACGTTTGCACTGGGTGACAGGATATCTGTTCCCTCCACTCGGTGACACTCCTGAACCACGTTTCAAGTGACTAGCGTTGATAATTCGTGTTGCTGACACGAGCCTGAGCTACGGCAGCCCACAGGTGATAAAAATAAGGACTCACATAGGTGCGTGTGAGAAAGACGTCAGGCTGCACCACCACTAAACTCTGATGTCAAGTAGAAGGCCACAAAATATCGTCCCATGGGCCTCAATTGGCCCGTGGGCCACGAGTTTAAGACCCCTGCTCTACAGGTTTAAAGGAGATCTTCTGCATCTGGTTCGGACACACAGTTGACCAGTTTGTTTTAAGATGTCAGAGGAGGACTTAGTCTGAGCTGTGAGGAAGCGAATGAGTTTTAGATTCTCATCAAAGATCACAGCCACCGGTGCTAGTTTCAGAGCTCTGGACTGGACTCTGGACCCGACTGCCAAACAGAATTATTTCAGCCTTTATGTAGTTGGATGAACACAACAGAAGCGTGTCAGTGTCATCAGATGAGATGTTTGATAAATAAGTCTGTGTTCTCTTTTTAAACCTGTACCTTCATGTTTTATGTGTTCATGTCAGTGAACTGAAATGCAGTGAAACTGTGTCAGTGTTTATTGTCTCAGTTCATCATTGCAGTATTTCTTTTTTCATCTCTTTCTCTGGCTCAGTAAACGTTCACATCATTATCTTATGCTCGTTTAAATCGGCCTGAAGCTGAACAACATTTTCAACTTGTCATTTCCCAGCCAACATGATGTTCCTGAACACCTAAAGCCATCTTTGGGATTCACGCTGTCACCTCACTGTCGTGACATTTTCCTAAACCTCTTTATACGGCGAGAGAAGTCCAAACTTCATTTACAGGATGTGAATCCTGGTGTCCTGCTGCTGACGCCACAGCTCGGGAAAGACGTTTGTTTTAGCGTTATTGCCTTCTTGTGTGAGAAGCAGAGAAGCACATTTTCTATTATCAGTTTACAGGCTGCTGAACAACAAAGATACGTCAACATCCATTATCCATTATCTATACACCGCTTAATCCTCATGAGGGTCGCGGGGGGGCGGAGCCTATCCCAGCTTACTCAGGGTGAAGGCAGGTTCACCTGGACAGGTAACCAGTCTATCACAGGGCTACACTTAGAGACAGACAACCAAGCACACTCACATTCACACCTACGGACAATTTACAATCACCAATTAACCTCAGCATGTTTCTGGACTGTGGGAGGAAGCCGGAGAACCCGGAGAGAACCCACGCTGCACGGGGAGAACATGGAGACTCCACGCAGGAAGATCCCGGGTGTCCTCACCGGGACGCCAACCGGCGACCTTCTAGCTGTGAGGCAACAGTGCTACCAACTGCGCCACCCTGCAGCCCATACGTCAACATATCAGCCTTTATTATCTGGAGTCCCCGAATCAAACAGCTGCAGTCACATGAAGCTGGTTAACAACTAGATGACTTGGGCATCCCTACAGATCCCCCATGAACAGGGCTGTCGTTAGCTATAGTTAGCTATAGTTAGGTATAGTTAGCTGTAGCTAGCTACAGCTCCCCTAGATGAGCAGTGACCCATGAACAGGGCTGTCGTTAGCTATAGTTAGCTATAGTTAGCTATAGTTAGTTATAATAGTTAGCTGTAGTTAGCTACAGCTCTCGTAGCTGAGCAGAGACCCATGAACAGGCTGTAGTTAGCTATAGTTAGCTGTAGTTAGCTATAGTTCCCCGACCAAGCGGCCGTGGGTTCGACTCCCACTCACGACCTTTTGCTGCACGTCTCTCCCCGTTCTTCTCCCCCCTGGGTTTCCTGTCTCTACTGCTCTAAATAGAGGCATATATATATATATATATAAAAACAAACAATTAGTAAAGTCAACCAGAGTTTCTGAACTTGTAATAACAAATGTTGTCAATAGGCACCTTTCAAAAACTCAAGTACACCCAATGAGCATGCTCTCATAAAAGGGGCAGAGCTGCGAGCAGGTGACCAATCAGACAGGGACAGATGTAGAGCTGCAGATTTCTAACATGAAGAACAAACTACAAACCAACAAGAAGGGTTTAAAATATAATACAGGCTGAAAGTAATTCAGCTGCTGCAGCCAAAGTCAGGAAGGAAAACTGCAAAAACTGCAGACTGTGTAAATGTTAGCAGGCTGATAAATAACACGAGCATACCTGGGAGCAGAGCCGGCCATAGCTACACCTGTCAGGTCTGTTGCCTCATTAATATCACTGTCCCTTTATACACAAGCTCCTCAGATGAGGTTTTCTTAATCAAGATTCAGTTGAATTATCATCATACATCAACACAGATGGAGTCTCTTTATGCTGCTCACAAGAAAAAATAATTATTTAAAAAACGAAGAATCAAGCAGAAAACGTGTTGTCATGGTGACTTGGAGGATGATTTCAGTAAACTCATTATTCTGTGTGCAACAGTTTCATTCTTTATTTTATGCTGCAGGATGTGTAAGAATGATGATGCTGTCTTCCCAGAGAGCTGATTGGTCAGTGGGAGCATTTTGATCTGTTATCTGGAACATCACCTGCTCTGCAGCAGCTCAGGTGTTCAGCATCAGTTACCATGGCGATGTAGGAACTGAACTCTCATCATAGTCCTGAAAACTCAGAGTTAGACCTGAAGTTACCTCCAGAACCGCTTCATCTGCAGAGCATTGATGCTGTGGACTCTTCCACATGCTGCTAAAGTGGGACACGACCTTGTCCTCAATGAAGACCTCTAGTCGTTCCAGTAGGAAGGAAACTGAGCTCAGTTGTTCTTTCCCACCAGTGTTTAGTTCCTCTTCACTGAGAGCCTTTTGTCTGGAACAATCCTCTGTAGGATCCACTTCACAACAAGAAATACCCGTGAAGAATGAAGCTCTGCATTCTGTAAAATATATAAGATGTATTCACCAGCAGCCAATAAGAAGAGCACCAGTGAAGCAGAGCAGACATCTTCATGCCTTCACATGTCAGGTCACGTTTGGTTCTGCAGCTTTCACTGTCCGTTCTCTGGTTCGTCCTGTTTTTTCAGGTTCTTCCAGACTTAAGAGAGCAGATCTGCTCAGAGGATTCTTGTGTTTGATGTAATATCAAGCATATCAAATATAATGTATTACCTTATGAAGTCTGTGAGCAACAGTTTGATCTGATGCACCTCACATTCCTAGCAGACGGAGAACTGTGTCCCTGTTCCCTGTAATGCAGAAAAACCAGCATGGGTCCGAGGAAAATAGCAGACAGCGTGGAGGACATTAACATCTTCGATGATACAGTTCAATGGACGTTTGGTTCATATCATGATGTAACATCCCCATTAGCCAATAAGGAGTTCCAGAAGACCATGATCACCGGGATGCACTGTCTGCACTTGTGGCAGCTGGTTAAACATTCACCACCTGAGTCCAATCAGGAATTAAAATGGCAGATCGCAGATCTCCATAACATCCTTCTGACCCGTCAAACCAGTCAGACATCTCTGAAATCCAGTTTAGTCAGAATAACAGCTGCAGAGAACTCAAATCTCATTGGTCTGACTTGTTGTGATGTCACTGCTCAAGCTTCCCATTGGATGTTGGTCCAGAACAGAGTCAGCAGTGGTGTTTGCTGCTGTGGTGTATCAGATGTTAGAAACAGAAAGGAGAACCAGAACTTGGTTCTTTAGAGACTGGAGGTTAGACTTCCTAGAACTTGGTCCTCAGCTGCTCTGACTTGGAGGTAAACCAGCTGCCAGATGTGAGCCGCCCTCCCTTTCTCTGCCTGTCAGAGCTCCAGCAACACTATCAGCATAGTCAGTGGCAGCTGCTTTAACCGGCTCACCTGTTTGCAGTCACCTGGCTCCATAAAGACCTGCTCCTGCCTTCACTCTGTGCCAGATCATCCGCCTCAGTTGCCTCTTCTCGGCCACTCGGCCGCCGCGCCACGACCAATCCCCACGCTGCCTTGGATCCTCCAGCTGTGTCCTGGTTCCCCGTCCACCATCCAGTCTGGCCCACAGCCGGTGCCTGCCAAACCACATACATATACATTCAGAGAGACTTTGCTGGTCGGTGGAGGCTGATGTGTGACACAGAACAGGTGAAATGAATAGTTATAGTTATAAAGCGTGCTAAAAGGAAAGAGCGGATTGAAGATGCACACAGCTGGAGAAAGGGACTTGTGACTAGCATG